AAAAAAAAAATCTGATTTTGGTAAAAAAAAAAATGATACGAAAAAAATATGATTTAGATTTTGGCATAAGAATCTCTAAATTTGTTACAAAAAAATATGATTTAGATTTTGTTATTAAAGATCTACATGTATTAATTTTTTTTTTTAAATTTCTACTAATAGTAAGTCAACTCATTTATTTTTGGTCAAAGTTACTAAAAATGATTTTACTAACAATCTTTTTATATTAGTATAGATGATGTATTTTTATAATATCCATTTATTATTTTCAAATATTTAGCACTGTTGTACCTCTCTATTCATTAATTTTAATTTTCTTATATTAACATCAAAAAAGTTTTTAGAAAAATCATGTTATTTTCACATATGACAAATTTTTTGAGAATATTCTATGCTTATCAAATAGATTACTCCAAAATGTTTGTAGAAATAACCGTGGTGGTTGGATGGAACTTAATATCAAATATATATATCTTAAAGTGATATATATATTAAATATATACATATATATCTTTAAGAGATGTCTTCTTCAAAACTTCTTCGGATTCGATTACACTAAACATCACTCTTTCATCACAGTTTATTAGTTTATTTTAAAATTTGTAAATTTATATGTATATAAGTTGGACCAAATGCCATTGAGCTAGAGAAGAGAAGGCTGGGTTATAAATTGGCCAACTTCGTTTTTAGTTATTTTATTTTTAACGAATTGGGTTATGTTCATTATCGCCTAGTGAGTAGTAATCTTACGTGAAATCATGGGGAAATAGCAGAGTTTGTTACAACCAAAATTATTCTCTTTCACTCTCAACTCTCTCTTACTCTTTCTCTCTCCATTTTTGCAGAAAACCATAGCTAAGATCTCTATTGCAATATTATTAAATTCATGTAAAAATTCAAAAAGAACATATTACAATCCCTAATTTGAAAAATTCCACAAAGGTCTTTACAAACCATATAATATTTCTAATATTTTTTTCCTATATAATTTTAATAAAATTATTTATAATATCGTCCACTAGGATGTACTAGCATTAACACGATATTCTATATTGTGTTGTCAAACAATATTGGAATCAAGGGGGAAAATCCATTTTTTTTAATACGTAATTTATTTTATTTTTGTCTTTCGTACATAAATTTCATCTCAATCAATTTATGTACCCTTAATTTCATTCATAAATCATATTTGATACATAAATCATACTATCTCCTATTTTTAATATATATAGTTTTGAAAAGTTGCACACTAATTAATAATATTTTTTTTGTCAATAATAACTTTATTTAATGCAGATAGAGATGAATGTTTTGATAAAAAGTGAAGAGTGAATATGAAAAGACGTAATGTATTTATTGGCTAAATGAGTGTAATAATGAAAAAATATGTACAAAAAATCCAAAACGACATTTATGTTAGCCCCTGCTCGTTCACTGTTCAGGTAAGCAAAAATACTTCCGGCACAAACGAACACTTTTAGGATGGAAGAAGAATATTGTGAACAACTCAATATATTGAGTATTAAGTTTTTCTGTGTGTTTACAAAACAAAAACTGCATCCCTATTTATAAGAACTAAAAACAATTATCCTAGTGACTTTCCTAGAAATTACTTAAGTTGAAAAGTCATGAAAAATCAGCCTAAAATGGCTGCTAAGAAAGTGCTTTGCAGCTGCAAGGAAGTTGCAACTGCACTAACAAGGAAGCTACCAGGAAAACAACAGATTATATCTTACAATTTATTTGCGAATAGTTGAAAAGGCTAGAGCGACATTTAAAAAAAATAGGAGGGAATATTTGATATACTATGTTAGTTTCAGGGAGAATAAAAAATATATATATAGGCTCCTTCAATTTTCACAAACAAAATACCTTATTAGAAATGATAAATTATTAAAATCCAACTGCAGATCCAACTGTGAAGCCCACCTAGTATAGAAATTGGAAATTTTTACTTAACCTTACATTAACACATAAAAAAAA